GTGGGTGCAGTCTGAAGTATCTGAGACAGACAGTTACATAGCATTGAACAGGAAGTCAATCTGACCTGGGCCAATCCCACTGTGTGTCCTTAGCTCAGTCATATAACTTTGCCTCAGTTTCGTCATCCATTAAATGGGTCCCCACTAGCTCCATCTTGACTGTCTCCCAGGGTTGAAATGATCATCAGGTAAAATGCCTGTAGGACTGAGCGTTTCCCCAGGGCCGGTCTAAGTCTGCATAAATCTCATAGCTGGCAGGTACGGGGTTTCTCATATTCGATGAAGGTACGAGGAAGTGAATAATGAAGAATTCAGCCACTTATGTGTCAAAGGCACTATTCCGAGATTCACAAAACCAGTTCCTTTAGTCTCCCACTAACCCTGAGGTGAGTGCTGCTGTTGTGGCTTTGCTGGGAGGAGACCAAGGCCCCGGCTGTTTTTATTCTTACACACACTCCCCAAAAGGCCCCCAGGCCCCAGGAAGTGCGCCACTTTCCCAGCAGAGGCCCGAGCCCTGCCCTGCCTGTATCAGGGCAGGCTGGTATGTCAGGACTGCCCAGCCCAGGAGCACAGCAGCCTCCTGCCGGGTGGGCGTGAGGGGGACCTCCTCGCTCTCTCCACCTCTCACCTCTTTCCTCCTCCCAGGGTTTGGCCCTGTCTTTACCACCAGTGACCCTGACAGCTTCTGGCAGCAACTCAATGAGATCCAGGCCGTGGGAGGCGGAGACGAGCCTGAGATGAGCCTGTCAGCCCTGGAGGTCTGCCCTCCCGCCCCACTCTCCCCCTTTTCAGGCCCCACCACCAGGGGGAGTGAGAGCCTTCCTGGGACCCTGTCCCCATCCCTCCTCCAGAGTCTGGCCCCACTCGCTTCACTCCAGCTCTCCTTGCTCTACCCCGTCCCCTGCTGCCGCCATCTTCACACCAGCCGTTCCCTCCCTGCCAGCTGGCCCTGCTGCACACCCCTCCACTCTCAGACATCTTTGTCTTCACGGACGCCTCCCCCAAGGATGCCTTTCTCACCCACCGCGTGGAAGCCCTGGCTCAGGAGCGACGCTGCAGAGTGAGCATAGCCAGTGGGCAACCCGATGTTAGCTCCCCAGGGAGACCCCAGGGCCACGCCACACTGTGGCAGTCGAAGCAGCCTCAGTGTGAAGTGGGAGCCTGGACAATGAGGTTGACATTTCCTGATCCCTTCGCAACTAACGAGTGAGAGGCCCTGCCCTTAATGAACTGAATTTGTATTTGAACCTGCCCCCAATAAACCATCTGAACACCCGGAGATCTAGCTGCCAACAACCCACTATGTGGATGACATATGGCAACAGTTACAAGGGAGTGGCAACTACGAACAAAGGGCGGGGGGGGGGGGGGGGGGGGGGGGGGGGGTGTCAGTGGGAGACGCTGCGTAGCAGCCAGAGGGTAGACGGAGACCTTACCAGCAGCCGGGAGCCCTGGGGGGACGGGAGCATGGAGGCCGCACTGACCACGGGAGATGGCGCGCGGGCTCCTGAGTACTGGCCTCTCCTCTGCGCACAGGTCACATTCCTGGTGACTGAAGACCCGTCGCGGGCTCAGCGCCGCGTCCGGCGTGAGGTCTTGTCCCCGCTGCGCTTTGAGCCTTATGAAGTGGTGGCCCTGGCCTCTGGAGGCGAGGTGATCTTCACCAAAGATCAGCACATTCGCGACGTGGCAACTGTTGTTGGGGACAGCACGGCCGACCTGGTGAGCGGACGGACGGAGGGACAGGGCTTTCAGCTCGGCCCTGGGGGGTGAGTGACGCTGCACCTCTTCCTCGTAGGAGGAAGGGAATGGCTCCCATTGCCGTGTTGCCAGAAGGTGTCGGGGTGGGAAGGGCAGTTTGTCTTCCTGGAGAGCCAGGCTATCCACCCGCCCCTCCCATGTTAGTCCCACCACACCCCCCAATCTTGGGCTCCAAGGTTCTGTCCTGGGGACAAGTGAGGGACTCCTCCTTAAGCCCTCGCCTCCAACTGTCACGCTCTGTAACTGTCCCTGGTTCATGCCCCCTCTCGTCGGTATCTTCTCCAGGCGTCCGTCACTTCGCTTCTTTCTGTCTCCACCTTCCTCTTGTCTTTGTTCCCACTCATTCCACGCCTTATCTCTTCCCCACCTTTCAAGGTGGCCCTGCCCCTGGAGCCCCCGGTGCTGGTGCCTGGGAGGCCGCTTGTGTTCACTGTCGATGGGCTGCTCCGGAGGGTAACGGTCCGGATCCACGGGGAGGTCCGCAGCTTCTGGATCAGGAACCCTGCAGGTACTTCCACCGTGTGCCAAGGCAGAGGGAAGAGCTGAGAATGGAGGATGAGGGCCATATGCTAAGGGAAAGAAGTGTCTCCTGTGACCATCTCTTCTCTCCACTCCCACCCAGGGGTCTCCCAGGGCCAGGAGGAAGGCCAGGGCTCTCTGGGCCACACTCGCCGCTTTGGGCAGTTCTGGATGGTGAGCATGAATGACCCCCCACAGACAGGGACCTGGGAGATCCAGGTCACAGCTGAGGGCAACACCCGGGTCAGAGTGCAAGGTGAGGAGGAAGGCATTCCTGGTAAGGGGAGGGCGGGGAGCTGCAGAGCGCAGAGAGCACGTCGGTCACAGCCAGCTGGGTCTCTGACGCCCTCCCCCCCTCAGCTCAGCCGGCGCTGGACTTCGTCTTCCACTTTGGGATCCCCGTGGAGGACGGCCCCCACCCTGGCCTCTACCCCGTGACCCAGCCAGTTGCAGGTGCATCTATACCCCTCACCCCAACTTGTTCATCGATTTCACACTTAAAAAATTCTCTTATTTAACTTTCCACTGGGTTATAATTTACATGTTTTACGCAAATGTGCACAGAACTCCCTCCTGGCCGCCGCACCAGTACTCCTAGGGGTAGCCCTGTTCTGACCGCAGACCACTTCTCCCGCCCTCCTCTCCGGTCGCAGGTCTCCGGACCCAGCTGCTGGTTGAGGTGACAGGGCTGCGCCCCGGCAGCCGCCGGGAAGGGCCGCTGCCCCACTTCTCCCACGTCGTGCTGCGAGG